AAGTGGAAAAGTGAGTGAAGTAGATGTTCCGCAAGTCCCTTCTCACTAGTATCCAGTACAAGTCACCGTCCATGAGCCACCCTGCTGTGCAGCACATGCTGGATCTCGTCGAAAATGACGGTCGAACTGTCTGTATGTACCTATATTATGCCGTTTGGCGCAGACAGTTTCAGTGAAATAAAACCGTAGCGTTTGGAGCACTGACAAGCGGCCCGGATGAACTCTCAGGTCATGCTATCGGTCCGCCGCACAGAAAGCCGCGGGCAGCCAATGCGGCCCATCAGGCCACAAGAGAACATGTAGACAATCTCTAATAACCAACTGTCTCTTGCAGACAGGGAGGGTTGCAGCCACACCGAAAAGCGGACGCCAGTCCGCTCCCAATGCCGGGCTTGTCCCAAGGCGAGACAAAGAGGGCGCTGTAGATCCAACCAGCGGCAACAACAACCCGAGACAGCTCCCCTGGGTTTTGTACACAATAAACCCTCCTCCGGGTGGATTCCAGAATTATGCCCCTTGGGTTCATCCTTGGGGATTTCAACAGGGCGTAATTCAACGGTGACACACGTCAGATGTCGTCGTTATAACACGAACGACGATTAACACGTCGTTATAACACCTGCCAACTTGGCCTTCCCATGATGTCTCTCTTCACCTAAGAAACCGGGCCAGAAGGATAGTTGCTTTTAGAGTTAACCTTATTAACCTCAACACTCCGTGATAGGCTTGTGCCCTCTCTCATCTCTGGTCTTCTTGATTCTGTCTCGACAACGGGCCTAGGTGAGGAAGTGGAACAGAGAGTGAAGTAGATGCACCGCAAGTCTACTCTCACTATTATTCAGTTCAAGTCACCGTCCATGCACCACCCTCCTGTGCAGGACATGCTTGATCTCATCGAAAATGACGATCGAACTGTCTGTATATACCTATATTTCGCCGTATGACCCATGCGGTTTAAGTCAAATTCTAGTTGACCCAATTTTGAAAAAACTCACCACAGACCGTACTGAAATAAAACCTCATTCCAGGACGTTGGCGTGGTACTTAGTTAGATACACTTAGTACTACAGTAGTCGCCGGCTATTAAGCCCACCTCGAGCCCACACCAAAT